TTGTTTGAGTTTGTGTGTGTGTGTGTGTGTGTGTGTGTGTGTGTGTGTGTGTGTGTGTGTGTGTGTGTGTGTGTGTGTGTGTGTGTCTGTTTGCGTGCGTAATACTGTGAAATTCTGATGTACAAGTACGCTAAAGTAGACTTTTCTTTCCACAGCCACCTCCGGTCTCTCTCAATGTGAAAGAGTATAGCAGCAATCTTCAGACTGTCCTGAATGATCAAGGTCCTCACATACTCTCATTGGTCAAGCCTCAAAATGCTGCGGAAGAAAATACTTTTCACGACTTGTACTTCTGGCAGAGTCGAGAGTGTGGACAAGCTTGACCTTATGGCAGCAACCAAGCTTCTGCTCTTTCTGTACAATGAGCGAATAGCTTGTAGAAGTGAGCCCCCTGGATGTCATACTCCTGGAACACCCCCACAACGTTTGGCCTTTATAGTGTTCTGGAGTCACGTGGCTTTTCCAAATTCAACGGCCCTTTTCTGTTCCTGCATGACTGTGCCCAGTGCCTGACAAATGTCTATACAAGCCGTCCACACCACCAGCTCGCCAGTAAGACACGATGCCATCAAAGCAGAGACACATGCTGTCATTGAGTCCCCCTTGAAAATATGAGGAGAAGCAGGAAGAAGCTGTGCATCAACCCCGCCAAGGCACATATCTGCTGCCATAGGCACTGGTGCGTCCCTCTTGGAGGACACCACGTGCTCAGAGTGACCCCAACAACTCAGCACTCCACCCTTGCGGATGGCCAAAGTTGACATGTATGTTTATTTTTTTTCAGTGGGATTTTATGCGGCACACAGCTTCCTTTGCTTTTCAGTGGGATAAAATGTGAAAAGTCATACACAGAATTTATCCTACTCCTATAAATTATACTCTAATGGTGCAGGTCTACCTACCTACTGAAGTGACCACTGAGTGTATATGTGTAAATATAAGGGAGGTGAACAAAAAAAAAACAAAACGATTTCAATAGGGAAAAATCGGTTTTGAGTTTAAAGATGTGAGTGCAACGAATCTAACCTAATCGAATCACTCCTCTTTAAATATTTTGAGATATATATGAAATTTTATTTGAAAGATATAGCTTCATCAACTCGCCATATCATACGGATGAGGATTCCACCAGACACCAGCCTGATCTATCAATGAATCGATAGAGAACTAGGGGTTGTGTATCTCTCCAATAAAAGCAGATTTGAAGGATATTTCAAAACATGGAATGCGATATGATGATAGCCTCCTGACTACCAGTAGTTCAAATTTGTCCTCTGTAGAGGACATTTGTAAACCTAAATATCTCCCACCCAGTGCATCCAATCGCATTAACTCCTTTTGTTACTCTCAAGAGGACATTCAGTGCTTTCCAATGATACCAAATTTGTAGGGGTTAGAAAAAGTAAGAAAATGGCTTCCCTCAGTGCAAGCACTTTTTATGGGAAGAGGAAAAGTAATACTTTTTATCAAACACATTTTGTCTTGAAATTCTGTTGGCATTTTATTTATAAGACTCTTATGAACACGTTAAAGTGTTGTTTGAGTTGTTTTAAGTGTATTTGAGCATAGTATTCAAGTGTTTAAAAAATGTAGTGGAATTTCAAAAATTTCTTTTGGAGTAGTCCAATTACTTCACATAGATTGGGGAATTTCAAAATAAATGTGATTGGACAACATTTTTTTTTTCCTGGTAGTCAGGAGGTTAGGATGTTTTTTTGAAGTGGAAGATTTATATATATATATATATATATATATATATATATATATATATAGTTTCTATGCTGACCGTGTTGATGGAGAGTAAGAAATTATGAATAAGTATGCGCTTACCCCAGCCAATGATGTAGTACAATTTCATTCTGCGGTCTTCACTGATGTTGACAGACACTACTTTGCTCCACAACAGCAAACCTTCAACCAGCATCCAGGAAAAAGAGGCCATGAAGAAGAGATGGAGCAGCGCGGTCACCACAAAACAGGCACCCTGCAGGAATCAAAATGTAGAGAAATGATAATGTCAACAACAGATGACTTTCTTCTTGATCTGTCTTTTTCCTGTCGTAGCATCCTTGTCGGCTATGGAAACAGTTCCATCAAAGGCAAGCAATGAAAAGGATGGCCTTTGGCTTAGCATCGCCAGAGGCACTCGGTTCAAAAGGAGCGTGTCATACCTACTACCTATTCCTTTTCTCTATCTGTTGTTCAATGGAGTGAACTCATATACACATCTCTTGAACATGCTAATTTTGGTACAGCATACAGTTATTTTTGTAAAGCCCTTTCCAAACGGCAACCAAACGTAAAGAAACAAGAAAGTACACAAACTAGTACTGTGACTTGAGCAAACCAGCTGCTCACCAGTATCCCCGCTGAGCACCAGCAAGGGAATTTTGGCTGTACATTGAGACTTTTCAAACAGTTGCAAGCTATTTTATATTTGTCATGTCATGTCATTTTTTGAAACCGCTTACCCAGTACTGGGTTGCGGGGGGAGGGGTTCTGGACTCTATCCCAGATGATTTCAGGCGAAACCCTGAAATGGTCGCCAGCCAGTCACAGGGCACGCATAGAGACAAAAAACCATCTTTCGATGTACCAGTAGATTAAAGCGTCACACTTTACATACTGATTTATTACCTACTGTTGCATTGCATGCTGCTGATATTTTCTACGGAGGTGATCGGTCTTATCAATGACACTGTGCTCGCTCCCAATCAGAGTACTCAAGAGCCAATAAATAACCATCAGATTCCTACGGTCATAACCTCTCGCTGCGCCCGTAATCGCTCGAAGTACAATATGGACCCCAGGCAACGCTTATTAAGATTATGACTAGAAATCCTGTAATGCCAAATAGCTTAGATCAGCTTACTTGATTGAAACTCTGTCTTATGATAATTTATCCTTCTCCTCGAAAGCCCTGCTAGTCAATGACCTCATTCGAGAACACAATCTTAACATTATTGGACTTTGTGAGACCTGATTAAAACACAACTGCTAAATGAGGCCTCGCTTCCAAACTTTGTGAGGTCATATGTCACACAAGGATGTATAAGAAGGGCTGATCTATATCTACCCTCAACTTTAGCCCTCGTTCTAAATACGCCTTAAAAACATTTGAAATTCTTGCAACGTGATCAACAGCCTCGTTGCCGTTTTATCTTGCAGTTATTTAGCAGTACCCTGGTCCTTACTCTGGCTTTTTAGATGAATTATCTGAACTTGTGGCTGACTTGGTGACTCACACAGATAATATACTAATTATGGGTGACTTTAATATTCATATGGATCTCCCATTTGAACCATTTACCGTGGTATTTCAGACATTAATCAATACTCTTGGTTTCACGGAGATAATAGATGAAGCGATGCCTAAAAATGGTAATACTTTTTGATTTGGTATGAACCCGAGGCTTTGCAACCTAACATTTAATGGTCTCTTCATATACGACCCTTATCTCTGACCATTACTTTATAAAATTTTGTACCAGATCCTTTAAGACCGCTGTTATTCGACCCTCATGCGTTTTCACATGACCAAACTTCACATCTTTAACCAACAAAAAGTAATCTTTGCCAATAAATGCGTTATTCTGTCCTTGACTGAGGCACTATGTGTTCAAAAGCATTCTCAATAGACACTTGACGTTTTACCGGCATTACCTTTTCGAGGCACTCGATTGTCTTGTGTCCAGAAAGTGTTAAGTCAGGATCCAAACACAGTTTGGTCATATACAGGTATGTGTCATGTTTGTTGTTTTGTTTGTTTGTTTGTTTTTCTTTAATATTTCAAGCAACACTTGCAAACACTAAAATGTCTCTCAACTAGTGCTGTCAAGCGATTAAAAAAATTGTGTGATTAATTAATTAGGGTCAGTAATTAATTAATCAAATTAATATATATTTTAATGTTATCTAAAAATTACTGAGAAAACTCCTATTTTCATTTTAAATACGTCACATTATTGAGGCAGATCAAAAGATAAAAGAAAAAGTGGCATTATAAAGTATTTTATTGTTTTTCAGCAGACTTGGACAGATCAGTCCGAGGCATTTACTTTCTGCTGTATTTGAGACTAGTCAAAGTCCTACCTGCAACCTTTAGTTTCGACCACGAGGGTAAATATCACTGTTTTGTTTGTTTTTGTAAATCTCCAAAGAATTACAAAATAAAAATGAAATAGAACATCAGGTCCTTAAAAAGTGCTTAGGTTAACATGTCAAAAACAGCATGAACAATTTTCTGAGCAATACAAGTACTCAACACTGAACTTGCTTCAGATAAAAAACAATAAATAAAACAGACTCTTAAATCACAGTGCTGTAAGTTAGCACTTCAGAAGTAACGCTGTTCATCATGACAAACTAAAAGTGCTGAAGTAAACATCAATCACTTCTAGTAGTCTACAGAGGACACATCAACTATGGCTCGTACGTGGGGGACATGTACAGAGGAGGGACAGGGGATACATTGGTAGGAAAATGTTAGAGATGGAGCTACCAGGTAGGAGACAGAGAGGAAGGCCAAAGAGGAGATTCATGGATGCCGTGAGGGAAGACATGCAGGTAGTTGGAGTCAGAGTAGAGGATGCAGAGAACAGGGAAAGATGGAAATTAATGACTCGCTGTGGCAACCCCTGAAAAGGGACAAGCCGAAAGGAGAAGAAGAAGAAGAAGTGCCGAGAACTCTCACATGCTGCTCAATTTTCACCTCTCCACTCCTCACCGCTGCTTACTAAGCGCGCCCAACTCCAAGGGGAGCCTATCAGCTTCGGCTAAACAAGCCCCAACATAATGGCAGCCAATCAATGTCTGCTTCAGGTTGTGACTGACAGTTGTTTCCCCACCCTCAACAACTTAACACAGGAAGCCAACACATAAAAAAGGCTATTAGAAAAAGGCAACCTACCTACAGAAACAATAAAGGCAGAAATCAAAATTTAGATTAACGCGATAAAAAAATAACGCGCCAAATGTGACTCTAATTAATTAATCGCAATTAACGCGATCATTTGACACCTCTACTCTCAACAGCTTTCATTGCCTCATCTTTGTAGTAAAGAGTAGGGGTGAGCATCTTTCCAATAAAATATGATTCGATACGTATCCTGATACATTTCAAGGGAGGTTCATTTCAAAGTGATACGATTTGGTTTGATTCAGTGGAATTCTGATTCGATTCAACGTGGTGCGGCTCAGTTCTAGAGGAGTATGAGTCCACGAGTTTCTTATTATTTTACAATATGAATGAACTGTGGGTGGCCCAGTGATCAAGTGGTTAGCACGTCGACCTCACGGTGCAGAGGTGCAGGGTTCGGCTCCGGCTGTGGCCTCCCTGTGTTGAGTTTGCATGTTCTCCTCGGGCCTGCGTGGGTTTTCTCCGGGTACTCCGATTTCCTCCCACATTCCAAAAACATGAATGGCAGGCTGATTGAACACTCTAAATTGTCTTTTTTTTAAGATTAAGTTCAGATAACCTTTATTTGTCCCACACTGGGGAAATTTGCAGTCTACAGCAGCAAAATTAGGGGGGGGGGTAAATAAAGTGTTTCATTGCACAAAAATAAATGTTTCAGAAAAGAACTGTACACAGTTCAATATAAGTGCAATATAGAATAAAGCCATACCTGTCAACTTTTCGGAGCGCCAACCTGTATAAACTCCCAAAAAAATCCTTATAAAGAGCAAAAAATCCTTATAACATACCAAAGCATTTTATATGTCAAAATAACGGCAGAAAAAAACCCACGAAATATGAATGATATATTTGTTTTCTTGTAGAACTTGCTTGTACACTACCGAAGTATAATGAATACTCTCTGCTGTTTTCAACTAGGAACCACGTGATTTACTGGAAAGTTACCGGAAATGAAAGCATTCGAGTAGACTAGCACCATTCTGGGCAAAAGCAAACGGAACTACCTGTTATTTTTAAAAAAAAACGGAAATTTTCAGAATCCGTATGATTTGTGCGATATGGCCATATACGTAAGATTTACCACAAAATCCGTATGAACTATGGCAAAACCGTATGAGTTGACAGGTATGTAAAGCATTAGCAATATATTTGTAGAATAAATATAATAAATTAGCAAAAGCATAGAAAACACAGCGTTAGGTGGCTGTGCTATTTACAATGGTTACAGGTTTTCACATGTTTATTCAGCAGCACTGAACTGGTTGCCATCCAATCGCAGGCCACGCACAGACAAACAATAACCACTCCCAATCACAATCACACCTCAGGACAACTTTGAGTGATCAATTAACCTACCGTGCATATTTTTGGAATGTGGGAGGAAACCTGAGTACCTGGAGAAAACTCACGCACAACATGCAAACACCACACAGGAAGCCCGAAGATAGGATTGTAACCTTGGGACCTATGCACTCTGAGGCAGATGTGCTAATCAGTCGAGCGCCGTGCCACCAGTAACATGCAAACTCCACACAGGAAGGTCGGGGCCCGCAGTAGAATCCATGACATATATATATACATACAGGTGTGTGTGTGTGTGTGTGTGTGTGT